TCCCTACATACTTCCCTGGACATCTACTGCATTGTAGCAAAGTGCAAGTGAACATTGAGGGGTGAGCACTGCAGCAGGGTGGAGCAAGCTTGCTGTTACGTATCAGGGAGTAAAGCACATGCTTCTTGCTTTCCTTAGAGAAAATATGATCAAGAGAGCATCATTAGGACTTTCTGGTTTGTGTTTTGAAGGCTTATTGCTGCCAGCCTTGAAAGGGTCTGCAAATGTGCTTATGAGTTTGACCAACTGCTTTGAAATCTGAATAAAAGGAAGGAATCCATCTGACTTCCTTTCTAAATGCATCTCAGATTTCTTCTGGCTTGCAGAGAAATACCTTTGATAAACCTCAAGAAGACTGTGCAACGCAGAAGGAAGGGAAACAGGCATGTGCCCTTTTCTCCCTGCAGGCTTGTGTGCTTGGTGTTACAGACCGTCATGTGAACGTCCTCTTCTACAGCAGGGGTGGTTCGTGCTACAATACCTTGCCTTAGACTGTCAAATATATTTCCTTATATCCTAATGTAAAAATAGATCAGGAGAAGGCAGGGAACAGTTGTAGCAATGGGATAGAGCACAACAGAAGTTGAAAAAGAGCTTGTGCTGTCCTGAAATGCTGATCTTCTGTTTGGTTTGTCGTGAAGGTCTCTTCTGTTTTTGAGGTCCCTCGTTACCAAAAGATGTCTCAATGAGGTCCTCAGATTTTCACTCTTACAGGATTATAAGAGCAGATTCTTTAGTCTGTCCTTCAGAGAGCTCAGACAGTGCTTCCAGATAAGAGGACTGCCACCACTCTGTGTTGCAAATTGAGCATGAGTATCCTAGAATCACAAAATAGTTTGGGTTGGAAGGGACATTTAAAGGCCATCTAGTCCAGCCGCCCTGCAGTGAGCAGGGACATCTACCACCAGATCAGGTTACTCAGAGCCCTGTCCAACCTGACCTTGAATGTTTCCAGTGATGGGGCATCTACCACCTCTGTGGGCAACCTGGGCCAGTGTCTAACCACCCTCACTGTAAAAAAAATTATCCCATATATCCAGTCTATATCTACCCTCTTTTAGTCTAAAACCATTACCCCGTGTCCTACTGCAGCAGGCCATGTTAGAAAGTTTGTTCCTGTCTTTCTGGTAGGCCCCATTTAAGTACTAAGAGACTACAATAAGGTCTTCCCGCAGCCTTCTCTTCCCCAGGCTGAACAGCCCCAGCTCTTCCAGCCTTTCCTCACAGTAGAGGGGTTCCAGCCCTCGGATCATTTCTGTGGCCTCCTCTGGCCCTGCTACAACAGCTCCAGGTCTGTCCTGTGCTGAGGGCTCCAGAGTTGGATGCAGGACTCCCGGGGGGGTCTCACCAGAGCAGAGGGGCAGAATCCCCTCCCTCGCCCTGCTGCCCAGGCTGCTGGGGATGCAGCCCAGGGTATCAGTTTTTCAGCCACCAGGACCCCCAAGTCCTTCTCGGCAGGACGGTGCTCAATCTCTTCATCCCCCAGCCTGTGTTGATAGCAGGGGTTGCCCAGCCCAGACCGAGATGCAGGACCTTGCACTTGGCCTTGTTGAACCTTATGAGATTCACACAGGCCTGCTTCTCGAGCTTGTCCAGGTCCCTCTGGATGGCATCCCGTCCCTCAGGTGTGTCAGTTGCACCACTCAGCTTGGTGTCATCTGCAGACTTGCTGAGGGTGCACTCGATCCTACTGTCTATGTCAGTGATGAAGATATTAAACAGTAGTGGTCCCTGTGTGGACCCTGGAGGGCCACTGCTTGTCACCGATCTCCATCTGGACATTGAGCTGTTGACCGCTACCCTTTGGATGTAACTATCCAACCAATTCCTTAGCCACCAAACAGTCCACCCATCAAATGCATCTCTCACCAATTTAGAGAGAAGGATGTTGTGGGGGACCGTGTCAAACACCTTACAGAAGTTCAGATAGAGCACACCCATAGCTCTTCCCTTGTCCATTGATGTAGTCACTCCATCATAGAAGGCCACTAGGTTGGTCAGGCAGGACTTGCCCTTGGTGAAGCCATGCTGGCTGTCTCGAATCACCTCCCTGTCATCATAGGAGCAAGTGCACCAGTTGAGCGCTGTGTGTCGGCAAGAGTTTTCTCTGTAAGCATTAGAAAATAATTTTTTGATCTTGGTATCCTAAAGCTGCAGCTCAAAAGTAAATGTTTATAAGTGGTAATTCCTCATGATTAGAAGTCTAATAGTAAAATTAAATTGCATCTGAGTAAAACACAAGGTACTCATTGTGTCACTGTCTCCAGAGGTTTAGAAACAGAGTTCTTTACTGATCCAGGTGTATTGTTTTTATAGTCATTAAAATGATTCCCTGAACTACATAGCAGTGGACAGCAAAATAGCAACTACATAGTCCTAATTAGTACCTGGGGGAGAAAAATCTTAATTAACCGTAGAAAGTTGTGAATGATGAGGCCTGAGGTGAATGATGAGATAGTGGTGGGTTCTGAGATCATCTGCTATCTTGTGAAAAGATTTTTGTTGAAGGGTGATGCTGTAATTCCCTTTGGTACCCAGTTAAACCTCTGTCTGCTCCAAGTTGTCCTGTCCCTTTCCATGCTCTGAGGATGGACAGATAGTCCACACTGTGGAAGAGCTGGTGTCTGCATTTTGTGCATCTTGGTATTCTGAATTAAAGAAGATAAAGATCCCAATGTTCAAGTCAGGCTGAGTGTAACTTTTATTATGAAAACTTCATCTCTGTGAAGCATAGTAAGTTGACATAGCTGTGAGTGAGATACTGAAAGCTGGGTACGCATTAAGTCTTCTAATTTGATATGACTGACAGCATTTCATTGTGAAATTTCTTGAATCCTTTTGTGACAAAGCCTAAACTAGTTTATGCTGTAGGTAGGACTGAGAAGATGTACATAGAGACTACCTTAGGTAAGATGCTAAGCTTGTGGTAGGGAGTGGATTAGGTGGTGCTGGCTGCTGAACAACAATTAAACACAGTACGTAAGCAGAAGCTTTGATGGGAAAAGATGGGTTAAAGAAACTATGCATCTGAAATTCTAACGGAACGGAGAGTTGCAGCTCTTCAGTAGCTGTTGTTCTTGACCCTGTCCAACTGTTTACTCATTGCTTGTGCAGACGATTTCGAGTATTGAGAAATTCATCCTGTTGAGATAAAGTGCCCTGTGCTGCCCGTGGCTGTCATCGTGGAGATGCCACGTTAGAGGGCAGCTGCAGAATCGAGCTTGCACAATGCCTCGCTTGTGGAGCTGTTGTTTGACTTGCTCACTGGCCGGTTGCGTCATTTCTGTCTCCTGGGCTTGGGGGAAGTTGACTGCAGACGAGAATTTCATCCAGGCTTTCCCTCTGCCCGTTGCGAGGGGCATAGGGCCACGGGACGGGGTCGGCAGGCCGGTGGTGGTGCACCCAGGAGAGGGCATGACCTTGTCGGGGAGGCTGGCTGTTTGTGAGCCCACCCGTGCTCAGTCACTCATCTGCTTTGCAAACTGCTTAGTGTTGTGAAGCTTGAGTTTTCAGGCTAGATGTAATACCACAGCTCTTGTCCAAGAAGTAAAAGCATGAGTGAAACAGAACGTGGCAGTTGTTTTACCTTGCCAGTTGCAATGGCATTCGAAACGGATGCGCTGTGACTGCGCTAGTCAGAGCGTTCACGGGATGTTCCGCTTTGTGTAGCGAGTGGTCCGTTGTACGCACAGAAATACGACAGCTTTATTTTTTGAAATGGCTTTCTGTCTGAAAACCTGTTCCTTTTCTGTTTTGACAGACAGTGGGGAAAACTCTTTACCACTCCCACATGGTATTATAAATAACAAATTGTGTATGCAAATACCCTTTGGGTCCTTCTGAACAACTTGAGTTGAGCTTTCGGCCACCTGGGACTTGTATTCTAAACACTTACAAAACCCATTCCTCCCAGCCCTCACCTTCTGTCCTGTTCCCCCAGGGAGAGGAAGAGTCAGTAAACTTGAGGGTTTTGCTTACAACTCCTCTGCCATAGAGCATCTGGTGCTTTGAGGTACCGTAGCAAGTACAGCTGGAGGAGTCATGCTGTTGCCCTGCCCCAGTGTTGCACTTATCTGATTCATTTCTTTCTTCCTAGTCATTTTAAGCTCTCTGCTTCTAAACAGAGGCAAAAGACTAAACTATAATCTTCCCCAATAAGATTTTGAGAATGCTTTTTCATCTTAAAATTGCAGGTCTCCATCAATTTAGTGAACTGCTTCAAGCAGACTTTGCCTTCCTTCTGCTCATGACGCTTCTGCTTTTGGTCTCAGCAGATGTTTATTTTCCTAAAACTTGAGGACAGTGGATACACTAAAAGTACCAGCGTGGAGGATGCTACAAGGGAAAACTTTAGCAAACTAAAAAAAGTTCAGTATGTTTTCCCAGCGAAGGCATATTAGAGCTGAGCCTTTTTTGAGGTACGTGCCCTTGAGTAATCAATTCACTAAGCCTTTGCTGCTGGTGTAGGGCTCTGTGGTCCTTTTAGGCTGAAGGGTGCCAGAGCGTATCCACATCAGGAGTGCAGTGTCCCCCCGCGTCCTCCTCCCTGCCGAGCCCCAAGACGGGGTTGGCACAGTGGTAAGCGCAGCTGCGTGCAGTTCCTTGGCCCCTGCCTCGCAGACCTTGTGTTGATGTTGTAATTTGTGCTGAAAATGTTGCCTGATCATTCTGGGGAAAGAGGAGATAGGAGCTAAATTGTCAACATGATTTTCTTCTCTGTCCACGTGCATGGGTCAAAGGCCTGGAATAAAACCTGTGGGATAAAGTTCAAGCTAGGCTGTTGTTTACGTGGTCCTGCTGAGACGTGGGCTGAGACAAGGCAGTGGGGTGTTAATGACCTGGGTTTTGAATTTCTTGTGTCCCCTTTGGAAGCCTTGGTTTGGTGGGATACTGTTGCATACACTCATCCCAGAGGGTACGTGGCTGAATCCAGGACTGGAGAGCTTAGCTTCCCTGTGTCTTCTCCGGGGAAGCAGGCATCCTCTTGTGATCCCAAACACATCCTTGCTGGAAGGCTTGGTACGAAGCTTGGAGGAATTTAGGAGGAGAGTGTTGGAACACTAGTTTTGTCTGGTTTAGTTTCCTCCTCTTTCACTGCTAGGAGGAAAGCAATAATTAATACAGCTGGATGTTAAATGCAGCATTTTCTACTGGCTCCGACTTGTTTCTAGTATTCGCTTTCCAGACTTAGCACAGCCAGATGGTAGCAGTCAAATCTTTCAGTTAGTTTAGGATCCTTCTTAGAAGGAAGAATGTTCGGTGATGATCTACGCTTAACTTAGCTCTTCTTATCTTGAAGATACAACAGCCTAATATAGGAATAGTTCATTTTGTTTTACAATGGAATGCTGAATGTGCTGGTGTTGGCAAAGAATCTGGAAGCATGAACTTTGGGTAGCAACTTCAGCAGCTTATAGCTGAAGAAGAAATAGCTTGAAAGTTCATTCACTCTAAGCGGTGTCCAAAAAACACAGTTTCACAAAGTTGCTGGGATGCATAGTTGTAGTTCTAAGTCTGTCCTTATTAGGATGATTTCAGATGTGCGTGGTTGCTTTTTGCCCCACCTCTCCTTGCTGGAGCAGCAGTTTAAAGTGCAGTGTGCTCTGTAAACTCATGAACAGTGAGTATCACACCTTCAGTTGCGCTGTTAGGTGTAACAGAAAATTGTATCAAAGAACTTGGTTTGAGAAAAAAACAATTCAAAGGTGGTGTGCTGGTTGGTCCTTTTGGTGTTTCTCTGGTTTTTTTAGCATTGTGTCCTGAAAAAACTGGCATTATTGATAGGAGACAGCAAAGGGATAAGGGTGGCAGAGCTGGGCAATGATGTTAAAATAAACCAAGCAGTGAGTTGGTGGAACTTATGGCAGTTGGAAAATCCCCAAATGATGATGCTTGTGTAACATTTTCTTCCTCCTGGAGAAGTAAATGCTGGAAGTGTTGCAGTTAATGAGGGAATTGACTGCACGTGTAATTATAAATATGAAGCCAAACTTCCCTTGCATCAGCTTTCATTCTCCTGCTTTGTCTGACTTGCAATATTTTAGAATGCCTGTAACAAAATGACTTGTTAAGTATGCTGCTGATAATAAAAAGTCAAATGTGAACAGGTCAAGAGCCTTGTATGACGAAGAGAGAAATGGGAATGTTGGAAGTGGAAACAGTTTTTTAACATCTCCTGAAGGAATGCTTAGGAAAGGACTGTGTCTACAGCAAAGTATAGACGTAGCATGGTCTGAGCTCTGTGTCGTGGCAAGTTGTCCGAAACCAGGACACACTGCAAGTGGGCAGTCTTTATCCAAAGCACTTAATTCTTGAAAATAGTTTTACTATAAAGTAGTTCATCCACAACGTTGGTTGCTCGTGACGTCATTGGAAGGCTTCCACTGAGTAGAATGGTCTTGAGTCTAAATTTTAACTTGAGGTCATATTTTGTTTGTGCTTCATGCTGATAGAGGAGTATAAAGGAGCATGAAGAATATGCTCATGTGCAAAAGCAGCTAGTGCCCTTGGCAATCTTGATAGGAGTGTGTTTGTCCCTAAACATAAGGTAATAGGATCTAGGAGATTCCCAAATGCAGATGATGTTCTGTAATGGAAATTGTGTTGAGAATTCAGTAATACTTTGAAAAGTCTTCAGTTGCAGAGCTTTAAAGGTGCTTTTTATGCTCAGCATATGCAATTCACTTTTACCATCTTGTAAAATCTTTTAAGACTAAATTAGTTTTCATTTTTTTCAGTCTGCTACTAAGTGCAACGTTTTGCATTGCTCTTTACTGGGGGGTGTATGATCAGATCAGCGTAACTGAAATTGGGAACGTTGTCTGCAGAAGTAGCAGTTAAATTGCTTCCAAAAGGAAAAAATCCAATGATGCCCCCTCAGTCACTGTGCTTAAAAGTACAGCATCCACCAGTCTGCTGTAGTGCGGCATGAAGAGGATCAGTAGAAGAGGAGAGTATGTTGGTACCAGGAATCCTGGGGTCATCCTTTTGTCATGGGAAAGATGTCCAATCTCCTAGTCAAACCAAATTTGACTAATTCTATCCAAGTTCCTAGTTTTCTGTGCAATAACTGAAAATTATTTCTAGTTTTCCTTCTTGGCAGAAGAATCTTCCAAGTATAACAGTTTGTTAAATTTAGTTTTGTGAGATTGGACACTGCTACTTTTAGATTTATTTTAAACTGGAGGAGGCGCTTAAATTATGCTATGTTAAAAGAAAAGCAGAGCGTGTGCTGAGTAGCTCTTACGCTATTTTCTGTATGTTCAGGAGACCCAGTTACTAGGAATAGGCATTTAATTTAAAAATAGGTCAGTTGTCATGTATAGATGTTTAAATGAACCATACAAAGCTGATATTGGCTCTTATGACAACACTAGTGTATCTGCTCGTAAGTATAAAGTGATAACAGCCTGAAGACTTGTTTCAATACAAATCGTCTTTTCCTTGCTTTACAGGAAAATCTTCACTGACGATTCAGTTTGTGGAAGGACAGTTTGTTGATTCGTATGATCCAACCATAGAGAACAGTAAGTAAAAAAAAATGGCAAGCTGCCCTTCTGTACCTAACTAACTTTTATTAGAAGCCATTGTTGTTATATGTATTACTTATGTGGGCCTTTACATATTAACATTAAAGCTCATTAATTAACTATTATATTTTATTACTCTCTTAAACCAATGCTTACCAAGTTTACAGTATTGCAGCGTGGAAATCACTGTGTGTGTATTTCTCTTTTAACACTAAATGAAGGAAAACTTCATCAGTCTGGCTAAAATGCATCTCCTTCTTGTATGATGTGTATGTTTTTGGACATCTGCTTCCCCAATATAGCTGGGGCACTTCAGATGAGGTATGTCATACCTGTATGAAGATGTGCCACTATATACAAGTATTCCAGAGTCTCAGACGTCTCATTTGGTCAGTATATCCAGATGAACACAAAGCCAGCGATACCAGTCAGGAACAAATGACTGCCTTAGACGGTAGATGTGCCGTGGCCATGATAACATGATAGTCTTTTAAATTACTCGTCTCCAACTGCTTGATAACAAGCCTGGCACGCAGTCAGCTTGCTGCAAATACTGGGTAACTGACTTTTCAGGTGTCTTTTTTCTCTTAGCAGTTTTTTTAATATTAGCGCCTTTGTGAATAGCTAGCATAGCGGGTAAGTGAGGATACAAACACAAAAACTGCTGCCAAGAGCAACAAGTGACTTCAGAGGCGACTCACCCCGTATTCATTACAGTCCAGCCACCTCTTTCTGAGCGAGCGGTGGGCATAAAGTGCTTCAGCAGCTGTGGTGCTATGCGAGTAACTTGATCATACTGGCTCATTTTAATCATGTGTCGAATAAAACTTTGATTTCATGATCGTAACCCTGGGGTTTTTGTGTTTTAGTGACTTCTGAAATGCAATGGTAGCACGCATTTTTACAGTTTCGAACTTGTGCAATAGGATGTTAAGCCTGTGTGATACTCTGGTAGTTTGAATGAAGTGATCAACAGAACAAGCTTTGTTTTGGCTTAATCTTTATAAATTTTGTCTTCAAAAAGTAAAACTTGTGCAAAAAAAATTGGTCCAAAGCTAAATTTTATAGAAGGCAAGCTATAGTTAAGCTCTTACAGGAGCAAGATGCGTAGCATACAAGCCTTGAACAATACGAGTAAGACCTAATACTCTAGTAGTTTCATTTTTCCAGTCTAAAAATCTCTACCTTCTTTGGAAGTAATAACGGGAAAATAAGCTGCATCAGGCTTCACGTAGCGTTTAACAAAGTCAATACCACTTCACTGCTGCTTTTCACCCTTTCCTTTGCTTATACTATGTTAGAACCAGGAAAGTTACTTCTTGAAGTCAACAAGCGTGTTGGATTCAGTTGCTTCTACTAAACTTGTGTATCAGGAGGAGTAACTTGTAGCATTTTGTGGCAGCGGTGGAGGTGAGAGCTAATTGCTTAGCAAAATAGAATTTCCCTTTCTGAATGTCCTGACAGGAGTGACACCACGATGGGTGGCTATTCTTGAGACAGCCAGATTGAGAAACTAGTGGAACGGTTAGTTGTGGGAGTGTTGGAAGGAGAGAGAAGATCCTTGCAGAGCCAGGAGTGCATGGATGGAGTCTCTGTGGACACTGAGCTGGATGGGACTCTGAAGACAGATAGGCTCAGATGAGCTAGGGCCAGAACAATACAAAACTAAAATTTTACTGTAATAAAACCTAGAATCTTAATTTGGAACTCAGAGCAAATAGATCAGAAGGAACAGATAATGAAGATGGGCACGTAACTCCTCCTACCCCTATGTTTGCAGGGATGTCTTTAGTTACCATTAATTTGGTGATTCTGTGTTGCAGAAAAGCTGACTTGACTGCCTGAGTCTCAAATACATTTCGTACAGCTCCTCTGATGCCTGCCTGGCTGCTTTCTGCTTTTCCTTGGAGTTTCAGAGAGGCTTCTCGCACTGTGCTGCAGCTCTGTGGTCTCCCTTTCTCCCCGAAACAGGTTCAGTAGTCCCCTAAGGGAAGGAACAGCCTTCCCTCAAGGGCTTCCTACCTTCACCCTTGTTTTGCAATATGGTTGTAAGCAGAAATGTGTTAGAAAGCAGGAGGGGCCTGGAGGCACCCTGCTAGCTGTGAAGGGGATACCTGTAGGTATAGATGGGTCTGCTGGAAGCATCTTTAAGGCTGCACTGCTTCCATGCGTGTCATGGCAGCTGCGCTGGAAGGGTGAAGTGTGCTTCTCCCCAGGAGCTGCTGCTGAGCAGCCTTCTCAAGGAGTGGAAATGACGCTTCTGAGAAAAATTAAAAACTGCTCTGTTGCATTACGCATCTCAGTGTTGTAAAAGATGTCCTGACAGATTAGTGATAGGCATTGACTTTGGAATGAAGACGCATAGAAAGGGATGTAGAAGGTAGTAACCAAGGAACCCTTACAAGGTGGCTGTATTTAGCTACCAGGCAGTAGCTCTATGGGAATAATGTTATCCCACTCTCATAGAATCATAGAATTATAGAATAGTAAGGGTTGGAAGAGACCTTAAAGATCGTCTGGTTCCAACCCCCCTGCCATGAGCAGGGACATCTTCCACTAGACCAGGTTGCTCAGAGCTCCATCCAGCCTGGCCTTGAACACTGCCAGGGAGGGGGCAGCCACAGCTTCTCTGGGCAACCTGTGCCAGTGTTTCACCACCCTCATGGTGAAGAATTTCTTCCTAATCTCTAATCTAAATCTGCCCTCTTTTAGTTTAGAGCTGTTCCCCTTGTCCTATCACTACACGCCCTTGTGAAAAGCCCCTCTGCATCGTTCCTGTAGGCACCTTCAGGTACTGGCAGGCTGCTCTAAGGTCACCCTGGAGCCTTCTCTTCTCCAGGCTGAACAGCCCCAACTCTCTTGTACCTTTACTCAGCGGCACTATTGATCTGAAAGCCTGCATTCATGTGCCTGGTACTGATTTCTTATCATAATGTCTTGTTTTCACAGCAGCTGTCATTTGAGTTGTGTATGCAAATCATTTCGTTCATATTAGTCTAACGGAAGTATATGTGGTCTTAGAGTAACAATGGTCAGCAGCTGATGGACTTGCTGCATAAGTTACGCTTCTGCTGAGCTGTGTCAGCATTCGGGGCTGCGCTCTGCGTGTAATTGTACCAGGACTTTCTCTGACAGCAAAATGGCTTTAGTTCTTTGCATGGCAGCTGTTGGCTGCTGCACCCTGAGCTGTATGCATATATCTGTCTGGCACTCTGCTGTTCACTGCAGCATCATATTCTCCAAATTTCAGCAAGGCATCAAAACTAGAAACAATTGTAAGGTGAGGTTTGCAGCTTTCTTCATGTAGCTGCACTTCAGTCATGTACTGCAAGCTGTAAACGTGTTCTGTTCTGAGGTCTGTGTGCTTCAAGGAGTTAAAATAGGCTTTACCCAGGCTTCAGCTGCTGAGCAGCATTTTGCAGGTGCTCACGTTATGACTTATGACCGCAGAGATTGTTCAGGTCTGCTGAGATGTGTCCTTGGCGTACCAGAAGAGCCGTGATGTGCAGTGGTCGTATTGTCGGCTGTGTGTCTTGCTCACAGGCACGGCAGAAGGCAGCATGTCCCAGGATGTAGGTGATGGAATTGGAAGTGAAGACTTCCTCTGGATCAGGGGGACCTATGGATCACTAATTGCATTTCATACAGTTGCAGGTTTTTCCCAAGGTTAAATTCTTACCAGGAATATATTTGAAAAAACTTCAGCAAAGAAATGGGAGTCCTTAATTATGACTGCATCAAAGCAGATTTGTGTTCATGCAGTGGGCTGTTCCTGGTGCTGCAAGCCTCTGCACTGAACTAACAGTTCTCCTCACCCAGTCTGCGGTGACTCCTCCACTGCTTCCTTCCCCTGGCTCTGTCACATTCTGCTTCCAGTCCCAATGCTGATGATGTCTTTGCTGGGTCTATTCTAGGCTTCTAGAATAGTCTGAAAACACTGCCATCTGTCTCTGTCCCTTTTTAAATATTAACTTCATGAGGCTCTTGAAGCTACTTTGATTGCCAAGTGCTTTGATGTGTCTGTGAGGTGTCAAGAGACTAGAGGCTGTTACTTTTAATATACCTGTTAATGCAGTACCTCTCCAGCTGCATCTGTTTTCCCTCTGCCTTGAAGCAGTGGTGCTGTATATAGCAATGCTGCCTGTTAACATCTGTTCAGACAAACGGTTCCTTCTGTCCCCACCACAGTATTCACCCAAGGCAAAGAGCTGTTGCGGATTCTTGCTTCGTAACCCTAAAATTTTGTGCAGTGATGACAACAGCATCCAGACAGGGACTTGATAGCAGCTCACACGCACGTGTGCTAAAGCAGCTTGCTTGGGGGACAGACGGGGTAAGGCAGGAGCGCTCTCTTTGAGGCTCCATTTCAAGCTGTGCTTGTCAGTATTGTAATGGAAACCATAGGTGCACTTTACTCTGTTTATTTAAACACTCTGCGTTAGTTGGGCTTTGCTGTTTGAATTACTCCGCTTTCAAGAACGGTCCTGTGTTTTACTAGGTGGGCTGAAACCTCCAGTTGCAGATATTTCAGCCCACTTACTCAAGAGAATACTCACATTGTGGAGACTTGACAGGGCAACGAGCATTGGCGGGGAGGAGGAAAGCTGGCAAACTTCAGCTTCTAGGAGACCCTGTACAAAACCCGGGAGGCATAGGCAGGAGACTGCACAGCAGGATCCAGAACGTTCCAACTTTGCAGCTTCGGGAAGCTGTTGGACAACGTAGAATGTGATGGACGTGTCACTGCAGTGTTAGCTATTTCACTGCTCATCTCTGCAATGAAAGATGAAGCTTCTTAGGACTGTTAGTATTTTGGAAAGCCACCTCAGCCAGAGGACACCACCAACTTTACTCAGTGTATGAGCACTCTCCAGTAATCGTGTCTTCGGCACAACACGAAGGCCAAAGTGAAGCTCTGAAGCCAGGCCTGTGTGCTCTGGTTGGTACATGTAGTGCTCAGTAGTACATTATTCCTACAGGAGCGCTGACACTGTTTGCTTTTGCAGTTGCATAATACAAACACTGAGTAGCATTCCTCAGCTCGCAGTGCGTTGGCATTTCGTGAATCCGAGGAAGAGAAGCAGTGCTCATTGCTCTGAGGGACTGAATGTACTTCCTGGCAGAGGACTAGGTAGGCTGGTAGCAACGTGGTCAGCTTGTAGCTAAATCCTCATTATGGAGGTTTAGTATATTCAGAAGTTAGGCGGTGTGTGGTTCAGCCCTCAAAGAATTTTTTTTTAATCCAGATCATTTACCTCACGGTATTTACATTTAGGAATTGATTTTGCTAAACTGCTTGGAAACTGAGGAAAATATCCTACAATAAATTCAGAGTTAGCTTTTATGTTAATTGTGTTTAAATGTATTGTGTTACCACAAATTAGAGTTGCCTGGAAGTCTCTTAGAAGGAAAGAGCATAAAGGCTTTTACATGCATTTCGAAGTAAGTAAAGGAGAAACTGCTGCATCCAGTGTGAGAATCTTCTGAAATTTGAAATTTTGAAATAAATTTCTGAGTTTTGTTGTCTGTAATGTGCTAGTGAAGAGTACAGCCACCTGATCTAGCTTTTTACTGCTACTTTAAAACCTGTAACTGAAGTTCTTTTTCTTAGTGCCTTGGCTGACAAAGGCATAGATGAGTGACTTCTGATCCCTTCCTTTGTTTATAATTCTGAAATGTGTGTGTGTTTCTTATTTGTTCTAGCTTTTACAAAACTGATCACAGTAAATGGCCAAGAATATCATCTTCAGCTGGTTGACACTGCCGGCCAAGTAAGTTATCTTTCTTTCTTTGACTCTTTCTTAATAATTAAGGCAAGTATAGTTACTTCTGTATGAAGTTGGTAGCAGCCATGCGCTCAAAGCTGAAGTTTCACTGAAATGATTGTGCCTTGTCATTTAGTCACCAAAGAGCAATGTTTTTGTAGTGTTTACTTAGATGATTTTGTTGTGTTTTTTGGGTGCTTTTTTTCTCCTGTCTGTTGAATGTATACCTAAAAAAGTGAAGAAGGAACTGCCTGAACTGTGATGTACCAAAAGTTCATAAGTAGCTTGCTTGATATTTACAGAATAAACTAGCAGTCTTGTTTTAGATGGAAAATGTCACTTCAATAAACCATAGAGATGTTTTCCATGACGTTTTCCTATTTGTGTGCTCCAGCTACGCCACCGTGACTTATAGCCATGAAATGGTCGTGGGGAGAAGACAGAAATGCATCTAGGTAGTACTTACTGGGCTACCAATAAACTGCTGCAGTTTGTTTACATTTTTAAATGATGATTCAGGCGTGCTTCTGAATGAAGGCACGCATAATGACGGGGAGTGCAGGAGGAGACAGTGGACGCATGTCCTGTGGCATGGCCAGTAGCTTCGTGAAGTGCGGGTGTTCATTACGTAGCGCTGCTTGGCTGAACTCGCAGCGCGTGTTCCGTGCGCGGGAGTGCTCTGTCTTTTGAAAGATGCTATATTAGGAAAATACCAGAACGGGGACTGTGAAACTCCTGTAATTTTATCCTAAACTTTTTATTACTTACTTGTTCTTACCTTCCGTGAGTTCTGATATTATGCCTTGGGGTTTTTCCGCACTATGAGTAGTGTAGTACTTGGTGTTATACTACGCTGCCAGTACTTAAGACTTTAAAGCTGTAGGATGCTTGCTCATAGCTGGGACACTACTAAGAAGGGCTGTAACCTTCTAGGTATGTTTGGTCGCTTTCTTTGAAGAGAACTACATGACGTCAGAATAATTGTACTGTGTATATATGTGGTGTCAGCTTGTGGTGCTAATCAGCAGCACTATATCCACTTATAACCTGCCAGAGGTGTCTGAAGTGATGAAAAATGCAATACTGGCGACACGTGCTGGGGCAGGATTGTTTGATGGGGAGTATTCTGCAGAGGAGAGCAGGGTTGAGATGGGCGGGCTGTGAAGTGTGAAGAGCAGAGCAAGCTCCATAGGCTTTACGTCCTGCCAACGTAAATGGCTTGCCTTACATCTCTGGTTGCAGCGTAGTGATAAAAGTAAAATTTCTCTTTGAGGGAGAAACGGCCTTCTGGGAAGGCAGTGTGACTTTACCGGTAACATACTTCTCTTTCTGAGGTTCATTCTCGGGGTGGATTTAGTGTTACACAGTATTGTAAAACCAAAATAACTTCTTTCCCAGCCTGTGGTTATTTTCAGATTTGATTCTTCCTATGACTTGAACTTTGAGTTCTGGCTCACAGGGTTAGAGGGGGGAGATTATGCTGGATTATGGAAGGTGTGGCTTGGACAGCTTTCTGTCTGAAGTCTGTCTTGCCTAATGTTCCGTAGGGAGTCCTCATGTGTATACAGCATAGCAAGGATTATACTGTAGAGTTGTTACGTACTTGAGAACTTGGCTATGACTTGAAAAGTTACAGCTATGTTGTTTTATCAGTTGGCAAAGTTCTTCATTTGACCCACAAGTTCCAGAAAGCATAGAAGCTTTTATTCCTTCTCTGAAGAAGCTAAAAATGAAGTAATGAATTAGAAACATTTGAGGTTATGGCACTTACTTTTCTTGGTACTCCTGTTCTGTCCCATGCCTCTTTACCTTTCGTGGTTATCTGTTTGGGTTTGCACAGTTCATTTAAACCGGAGTCTTGGTACAGCATCACAGAGGAGGAGCGCAAAAGGAAATCTTGGGTAACACCAAATTCTAGCTGGGGCAAGCCTGAGAAATTCCGGGTAAAGTCAAACCACTGCAGAGTTGCACTTTCACCTGTTTTACATGCAGACTGCTCCGATCCCTCTGTATTGACTTTGGGATTACACGGCCAACGGAAGTGACAGTTTGGCATTTCAGTGAAGATGGGGGAGGGCTGCCCTCGGTGTGTAGCAATAAAGGCAAATAAGGGTATCTTTTGTCGAGTGTTATTCTTTCAAACTTTTTTTGGCTGAATCTGTGAAGTTGATTTAGAAAGGGTTCTTCCTCATTTGCCAGTTAAGGAAGTTTGAAATTTGGCTGTCTAGATTTAAGCTGTGTGATTGCATTGCTCCATCTGTTTAGTCACGACAATATACAGAGAGGTTATGTGATCTTAAGCTAAAATTAACGTCTCGAGAAGCATAGGTTTAAAAATTTGAGAACTCATACATTAAGAGGTATCGCTCTTGTCAATATGGGATGTTTCCTGGAAACATTGATTAGAACAACTTAGATTTTTAACATGGGATTCATAGTATTCGTGTTGCATTTCGTGCAGTATGTCAGTCTGTTTCATTTACATATTGGGTCAGTTCCTTTTCTACAGGGGTAACAAATTTAGTGATCAAGCTTCTGGGTTGTTTGTTTGTTTGTTTTTCAATTAAATGCGTGCCATATAACGTAAACTTCTAGTTGTCGTAAAGCAACTAATAACTATATTTCTTGGACATATGGTTGATAAGCATTAGTTAGTTGGTGAGCCAGTTATTTGCTCCCTAACAGACCCCTTGGGTAATTTAGACATGATCAGTCTTGAAATTATGAACTGCTAGATCCTGTCGTCAGCTGTTGAAATTAGGAATTTGAGATGTATCACTAGCAAGAGAAGAGATGTAATTGCTAATTGGTGGTAGGACAGGGTGGGTGTTTTGTACTAGTATAAACTGATAATTAAGCAGGATAAGAGGATTTGGGATAGCTTTAGCTGATGAATAGTCTTAGAGGGACTAAACCAAAAAAGCTGTAGATTAAATTTTAGAGTATACAGACTGAGTCAGCTTTCTCTTAATTTGGTAAAGATTACGCATCTGGCATTACGATGAAAAAACTTAATTCTGCTATACAAAATGGTCCCATACCTCATATCTTACAAGTAGACCAACTTAACTGCTGATGATTTGCTAGCATCGAGTGATCAGCTGTGACAGCAAATAATTTTAAATGCATTATTTCTTCTACAGGATGAATACTCCATATTTCCTCAGACGTACTCCATAGACATCAATGGCTACATTCTTGTTTATTCAGTCACGTCAATAAAAAGGTAATGATCTGTTGTGTTCTTCTGGTTCAGATATTAACCAGATATATCCTGGGTTCAGCTCCTGCATCTGCTGTGTTTTCTGTACGTGTGTGTAATTCATTGAATCTCCCCTAGAAGTATAATGGAAATAAAAGTTAATGGGTTTTCAGAAATTTCCCCTCAGACCCAAATGTCACAGGTGCTTTACGGCCTAATATGCAAGGTATGGTGTAAGAAATGAGACAGTGCTGAGCTACACTGTTTGGAGGTGTAAGGAAAAGTACATAGAACAGTTTCAGGAGTAATTAGAGTTCATTACTCTAGCATCAGTTATAAAGGTGGACTTAAATATGAACCGAAAGGGCACTGTTCACTTATGTGAAGTACCCAATTAGTTGCTAGATTGGTCCCTCAGCCTTGTAGCTCATTACAGTACTGAGATTTCTTTGACTTCTTGGCTTGGATTGTTCTGGTTAAAGGTTGGAAACTTTCATATAAATAGCAATGTGTCAATGTATGACTTCTGGCCTGTAGAGTCACTCTTGCCAGGCTGCAGCAGATATGTTATTTGAAAAATTTCCCAGAATGTCTGTTTTGTCCCCGCTGCTGGCTGCGGTCCATTCTGACCTGAGGACAGAGTCTGTTGTAGCTAGGGTCATTTACTTGGAAGAAGTGTCTCAGCCTTCGTAAGGTTTTGTCATCTTCCATTATTTTGTCTCTTCCATCTGGTTGTTCTGCTTTCTTTAAATACTGGTCGTTCTTGAATAGAACTTAATTTTCTAGTATTGTACGTTATCTTTGTTGTGACAGTGAAAATAATCCTATTTCTAAAAATCTTTGTTTGAGTAAAATGATTCAAACCTTAGGCCTCTCACTCTCTTCAAGTAGAAGAGAACTTGATGCTTCCCTTCTACTTGCAAGGAGGCTGATCAGCTTTTTACAAGTGCTGAAGCATTCCATGCCTTTTGATCTGAAGCAGACAAAACTGGTCATCTCAAGTGCTCTTTAGTAGACCGTCATAAAATACAGGTAAAACAACTTGCCTGTTGGCTCTTCTGTGCTTCTCAAAAAAAGGATACAGTCTGGCTCTAAATTTCCATTGTTTGCAAGGTCTTTAATGTTAAACAGATTTTCAGTCCTTCATTCTTTGTTTTCATCTTCAGTTCTGAGGTAGTGAAGGGCAAACGCCTGTGATCTGGAGGAGATGCGACAGAAGTCAGGCTTTCGTGTGTGTCTGGTGATACTAAACTACCTAACTTTTTTTTTAATTGTAGCTTCATCATAACTCATGAAATAGGAGTTAGTATTCTCAGCCTTAAGTAGATAACTCTCCACTTCTAAAGTGAAGAGAAGAGTGTAAATTGATAAGTGGTACTGTGAGGACAAAAATGTCTTTGACTAAAATAAACATAGAACCTTGGAAGCTTCTGCAGCTTGTGCTGTTCCCTGGTTGGCAGCTAAAGGACATGTGCTCTCTGCGCTCCTCCAGTTGCTGCCTGATGATGTCTTAAGCCTAGCAGCCCAGATAAAGAAATGAAAATCCGTTTTCAGTGGTAGCATTCAGTCAGTTAAAATAGAAGGCAAAATTATGGTGAAAATTCTAACAGAACAAGGTGTGTTCAGACTGTAGGTAGATAGTATTTTCGTTAGTATTTTAGTCTTGATCAACTTAATCCAAGATTTTTGCTTCTTCCTTGAAATTCCAAAGTGGCAATGACCCTGTCTTGTTCACTTCTTTGTGTTCTGTATCAAGACGGTGTTTAAGCAATAGGAAAGATCTGCCACAGCACTCTGGTGCCCTAGATAACTTGCCCAGGCAATCAGAATACAGTCACCAGCTGTCTTGACTTCTGTCAAAGTGTGTATATTGATCTGAGTATTGATCAGCAGGGGCGAGAGCTTTGACAGCAAACTTAATAGAAATGCCCTTTTTAACATTATCCTCTTCCCTGCTAACCTCCAGTGGGAGGTTTAAATGGGACTTGCGTAAAAGCTAACGCCTTACGTTTTCCGTGTTCTGCTCTTAGCAGCAAGGTTACTGGAAGGCTTTTGCTCTAGTTCGACTTAATTAAATTCCAGTTTTGTATCTTACTATGTTCCGTGATTTTGTGTAACACGTTTAGCTGACAGCTAGTAGTATTTTTGTTGTACTCACACATGGAGCTGTTTGCTGTAACCCTATTTTCTTGTCACAACTGGAAAGGCCCTCTTATGGTATCCAGATCTCTTACTGTTTCATGGCTTGGTTTGGTGATGCTTTGGATTGGTCAATATTTGTCTTAGGCTTTGCCTCTGCTCCTTCTAGCCTTATTCATTTGGAAAGCTTTCTAGGACATTAAACTCATCTGGTCAAGCTAATTTCATTCTTGGCAGTTCTTAGCAACTTCTGTGTCAGAATTGTGTTTGAGTTTAAATGGCACCTCTCTTTTGGTTTCCACCTTGATCTGTTATCAAAGGTCAGCTGTTTGTTCTTAGTCTTTTTACTAAAACTGGAGCTTGTGAACGATACTAGATAAGCAGATACACAGAACTGGGAAACGAAGAGCCCGAGTTGAACAAGAGCACTTTGCAGCGTTGTGCACTGGAACCTCAGGCTTGCCTGGGTGCTGTGCTGTGGCATGGCTTTTGCGAGCTGTGCTGGGAACAGCAGGCCTGACAGTGGAAAGGAAACAGTGATTGTATTGTAGCAGTGATTCAGTTACTCTGTGGCCAGTACGCTAGATCTTTCCTGTTACTTCAGACTGAGAAACAGTTTTGTGGTCTGTAGCAGATTTTTTTTTGTAGCAGTTTTATTCCTCTTTCAGTTCACAGGGTTACCTAGTTCTGTATGTAGCAATGCCTCTCAACTTTGTCACAACCGAGCTCCCTTTAACGCTTTGTTTTGGAAATAATTGTAAGAATGAAAGTCCAAGATAAGTTGTCAAGACCAGTATTTCACTAATAGCTTTTCAGCATAAACTCTTTTGTAACCCTGAAGTCCTTTCATTGATTCCACATTTTTATGTAAACTGTACTATTATACTTGAGTTACTAATAGTATGTTGTGCCAGACTAAGGCATGCTTTGGTTTATGAAGAAGTCATTTTCTTGATAGGATATACTAAAACCATTAGCTGAACATGGACAAGTATTGTGTTCTACGCAGTCTCAAAAATTACGGCTGAAGTCAGACAAATTGACCTACTTGACAGAAAATCCTTCTTAAATATGGCAGCATTTATTGTTCCAGAAATCAGAAGTTTTAATCATTCACATAGCTTGAATGGTGGTTTTAGGCACCAGTTCTTGGAGAGCTCCGAGTTGGAACTGTGTTTGAGTGCTGCTCTATTTTTGAGAATTTCAGTTCTAATTGAAATGCAGTGCAAGTCAGGGCACTGCCTGTAGCTAACAACCTTGGAAGCTGGAAAAGTTTCGGTCACTTTTTTGCTGTAGTGTGTCTCGTCTGTGAACCTGTACCTCTCTCTCTGAATTACGCACTTCATGTACCAGCATTTTTTCCATACTGTAATTAGAGGAGCACAACATCTGCTTTTCAGACGCGCTGGTAGCTTGTTCTCAAAAGTACTAAATGTCAGATGCAGTGGATTTCGTTAGTGGGGTTTTTGGCTTCTTGATTTCACAGTACTGTTTCTTATCTCCTGTCATCCACGTACATGGTAGGTGAACAGACGACAAGTGTTTGCATAACCACTGTTTCGATACCATCTTGCAGATCAGTTTACTCACTTTCCATAGAAAATTAGAATTTAGGCTTCTTCTAGCTTTCACATAAATAAAACTGAACCATTCTTTATGAACTAAATGTACTTAAATTATGTATTCTTTTAAGATGGAGTGTGCTTAACTAAATCCTTTTTCTTTGAAACTGCTTTACTTTGACATGCTCATCCAGAGTTATTGGACACTAGCAGTTAAATATCTTGCTGCAGATACAAACCAGATGGGAGGTGGGAGGGGCGCTTAGTAATCCTATGTTAGGTGCATCAGTCCTGGGTAATGTTATTTATTCTGCAAGTATCATAACCAGGGAGGCTATAATGGTAGGCTGGTCTTTGCTGCTTTTGAGACCGTTTTGTCTGTTGTACGCAAATCGGTAATGCTTTCGGCATCTTTGTACTTCTGCCGCTATACATAGAGTAAGTTTTAAACACAGCAGCCTACATGTGCATTTAATTGCTTGTGTATTGGGTATGAGGATAAACATTGGAGTGCATGTGTGACTTCATCCCTTTATTTTGCAGTTTTGAAGTGATAAAAGTTATCCATGGCAAGTTATTGGATATGGTGGGAAAAGTCCAGTAAGTAGTGACACTTTCATCTCATTTCATTGCAGGCATGTTACTAGTACTTTGTTCAGTATACTATAACTGTTCTGAAGTTCTGAACTTTCTTTCACAGAATACCCATTATGCTGGTTGGAAATAAAAAAGACCTGCATATGGAACGGTATGTGAACTCCAGTGTGTGGGAAATACAAGACAGCAGCCAGCATTCCTGTGGCTGCAATGCGCTAGTTTTGTTCTTGGCTTTCCGTAACTAAAATCAAATTGTAGGTTAAAATAGGGTACTGGCAAGGGAACTGTGTCCAGAATGTGAACTAGGAGCCATGAACTTTTGTTGTCATGTTGACTTTTGCTGTAAGGTTCCAGGGAAGGTCATTAAACACTTTTTTTTTTGACCCCCTTCCCCCAAAACAAGTAACAGAAGTGTATTTTTTCACAACTGAAAAATATCAGATGATATAACAGATTATGAAAACAAAGCAATACTTTGGGACACCTGCTCTTCTGGGTCACATAGCAGTTTTACCTGGCCCAGTACAAATACACTTACCTGACAGCAGCCAAAAGCAAATGCTTTGGATCAGACTTCACAAAACATTCCTCTTACATGCATTTATGTGCTTCGGTACTCTGAGGACTTTGCTGAAGTATCAAATTCCAATTCTTCTGCAAGTTATAAAGAAACATCCCTTTTCTCTTTGGTCAGGGTGATCAGCTACGAAGAAGGGAAAGCTTTAGCAGAATCCTGGAATGCAGCTTTCTTGGAATCTTCTGCTAAAGAAAATCAGGTAATGGATTTGAGATGCATTTTTTTGAATAACAATGTAGTGGAATGACTCATAGTTTCACTTAATAAAGGAAGCTAAAATATTTCGTGTACTTTGCGGATACTTTGTGTAGATGGTTGGAAACAAAATGGCTGTCCACATTCAGTTTTATGTATACAAGTTTTTCCATGCAACTGTAAAAGGAAGGGAGGAAATGAAGAACTGAAAGTTAAGCTTCACTAGGCACAGCAGAAGAGTTAGTGACAAACTATAGCTCGAATCTGCGTGGTGGGTGGAGCAGGGTCTGTGATCTGCTGCAGTGACCTGAAACAGGAGGTCACTGTGGTTGCAGAGGAGTGAGTTGGTATAAAGGGACAAACCTCGCATTTTAAAGGGCTAGGCGAGGCTTGGTCTTTCTAATGTGGGAAGTCCGTTGAGGGGGAGAAAAACCCCAACAGGAAAGTGTTAGAATACAGCAGAGGCTGTCAGGTACTGCTGTGATACAGCTGTAGTGAAGTTGCACGATCTGACGTGATATAACCCGCACACATTTACACTTTTTGGTTTCCTATCATGGAAAGACAGTGTTTTAATTACATGTTAAATAACAAATTATTCTTGGTTGCTCTAACTAACTGTCTTCAAAATACCTCTTAAATACAGTCTAGTATTTCAATTTGTTCCTGTGGCTGTTAATAATACTTTGTCATTGCTTTGACACCTTGTGTATCTAAGCTACGAGAGCCTCCTAGTTTGGGCTTGAAGTAATGGATAACTGCTATGGAGTGGGGGGTGTCTTCCCCCCCATTTTTTTTTTACTTCTATAGGTGTCAACAGTATCAAAGCTTTTGCTTTTTTAAAATATAGACATATAATAAGGTCAAAAGGACATTGTCAGGCTAGTTTCAAGCAAATGAGTCCTTATGCAGAAGAAACGCTTACATCGTCTCGCGTTTAACCTAGTGTATCACATCTTGACCTCCTTGGTAACATCAGCACAATCTAAAGGGCAGTCCTATGGCTAGGACAGGACCTGCTTAAGCAGCCTTTCTTTCCCTCTCCCCCATCCCTGAAAGCAAAACAAATAGCTTTTGTCTGGTGTCTGTTGTCAACAGTTCTACAAGTTACTTCAGCGAGGTTGGATTTTCCCTGGAAGAAAAACTTGGATTTTTGCTCCTTGGAAGAAGCACTTCTGAACTCAGGTGTTTTTTTCCCCAAAATCCTGATTTGACAGGATCAAAACAGCTGATACATAGACCTCTGTCAAGACAAAATGTGTTCTCTTCCTTTGAAACTGTCTCTGGTTTGGAGGGGGAAAGGGCTTATTCTGAACTTAGTAACAAAGCTGGTTGCCATTCTTCTGGTACTGAATGTTCCCCTTAGCTAAGCTAACATTCCTGAAAAAAGAAGTCTCTCAGCACTTCTTTCTTGCAGGCTCATCCAAATCATCCCTTGTATTGGCTTGGTACAGAAAATGTAACTTGCCTGTCAAGATTAAGTCTAAACTCCTTCTGAAACTGCTTAAGATTCTGTTTGCTTTACAGAAAGCTAATTTGGTGCTTAAAGGGATGAGCTGGACTGGATTGGGAATTTAGAGCTTAAGAACTTCAAAGAGCTCAAACCTTCCTGGCTGGGGGGGGCGGTCTGTTAATCCGCTCTCTCTGAAACCTAGCCATCTATATTGGGTAGATGTGGATCAAAAGTATCACAACTTCTACTGTGCTGGTCTGAAGTCGGTTTGGTACGTGATTGTCTTCACAGCAGCGAGGAGAGTAGGGTGTCCTTGCTACAGCGGTTAGACCACACTCAGTCAGCTATGTGCTCTATCCTGTGTAACAGCTCTGTTTGCAAGGAACTGCTGAAACCAGAGAAGATACTCTGTGCAACAGATTCTCATAGCAAAGACTCCTTTCCCCCTAAAAGGGGGTGGGAGAGCATTGACTCTTCTCCCTTCCTGCTTCAGCCAAGAGGAGAAAAATCCTTTTTGGCGCATCTGTGAGAGCCCTAGGAGCCCAGCCCTAGTATATCTATGAAATAGATTAACTTAGGCAAACTAGTGCTGTTCTGCCAGGAGTTACCAAAAGATACTGCATTCCAGAAGTGGTGTGACTTTGAATAGACGGAAAGCGCGAGAGGCAAAGATTGGTGCTGCGTGAGGATAAATGGTAGCGGCTGGGAAGAGATCCCAAGGTCAAATACATTTGAGGCTACATATTGGCTCCTCCAGACAAGGGGGACCTGGTAGGACTTTTGGAGGAGCCTGCATGTCAGCAACGTATCAGTCATCTAGGGAAATCCCTGGGCTTTGGGAAGGCCATTCTGAGACTTAATGGAAAAGACCTTTTTTAGGTCACTGCTGGGCTATCGTTGTCGTAGCTTCTCACGCTGCTTAATTATTACAGGTATGTTGAACTGCTTGGGCTAGCTTCAGGAGCTTCGAGTTGTTCTTGTGGGATTCCCTACTGTGTTTCACCTAAGCCATAGTATAGTACTTCATCTTAATCCCAGGACAATTAAGTAGTAATTGTTTGAAATACAACCAGAATCCAAATTGGTCTTAAACGCAGTTGAAGCTGGGAGCCAACTTGTACTGGAAGAATTTAGGGAGTGAGGAGCAGCCAAATTGTGTTATGCAAAATTCATTAGATAAAACTCGTTTTAGAAGGGGCAAGGAAGTAGCAAAAAGTACGCTTGTGGAAGGCTGACCCTGGCTGGAGGCCAGGTGCCCGCCAGAGCCACTCCATTGCTGCCCTGCTCATCTGGGCAGGGGAGAGCAAACACAGCGAAAGGCTCGTGGGTCGAGATAGGGGCAGGGAGAGATCACTCACCAATCACCGTCACGGGCAAAACCAGACTTGATTTGGGGAAAATTAATTTTATTACCAAGCAAATCAGAGTAGAGTAATGAGAAAATAAAACCAGATCTTAAAACACCTTCTCCCCACCCCTCCCGTCTTCCTGGGCCAAACTTCACTCCCGAATTCTCTCCCTCCTACCCCTGAGCAGTGCAGGGGGATGGGGAACGGGGGCTGTGGTCAGTTCATCACACGTTGTCTCTGTCGCTCCTTCCTCCTCAGAGGAGGACTTCTCACCATCTGCCCCTGCTCCAGCATGGGGTCCCTTCCACGGGAGACAGTTCTCCACGAACTGCCCCAGCGTGGGTCCCTCCCACGCGGTGCAGTCCTTCAGGAACAGGCTGTTCCAGCATGGGTCCCCGATGGGGTCAGAAGTCCTGCCAGAAAACGTCTCTGGCATGGGCTCCTCTCTCCATGGGTCCGCAGGTCCTGGCAGGAGCCTGCTCCAGCATGCACAGGTTTTTTTCCCTTCTTAAGTACGTTATCCCAGAGGTGCTGCTGCTATGGCTGATGGGCTTGGCCTTGCCCAGTGGCAGGGGGCGCTTGGCGCGCGGGTTCAGACACAGGGGAAGGTTCTTGCAGCTTCTCACAGCAGCCACCCCTGTAGCCTTCCTGCTGCTGAAACCTTGCCACGCAAACCCAGTACACCACTCCTCGCAAAAACAGCGCTCTTGTAAAAAGCAGTTGCTTGGGCAGCACTTGTTTTACAAGAGTAACTTCATCGTCCAGCTCAGAAGATGCAGTGCTCGGTGCACGTTTCGGGGCTCTCTTGGGTGTCCAAGCCCCGCTCCAGGCGCCTGACATGTGTACCTGGGAGGGAGGGCTTGGGGGGCGGGATGGACCTCTCTTCCTCACCTGACTATTGTTGGAGTTTCTGTGCAGAGATAAACCAGTAGCACAAGCACTGGAGAATTTCCTCTTAGAAGTAATCAACCCGTTGCGTAGTTGACAAACGCAGCATACCGGAGGATGAGCTGGCTGTGGGCCGGATTCGGGTGTCTGCGCCCTCCTGCGCCGGCTCCTGGCAGCGTGTCCCGCTCTGTGCCGGTGCGGAGGGGCAAGCCGGGCTCTGCAGGCAGCGTGTGTTGCCCAGGCTGACATCTATTTTGTTGCCCCGGGGGAGAAAGGTAGAAGCAAGCCAGATGGCTTTCTGTAGGCTAGGTGTGACCCACGGTCTGTAACCGGGCCGTATGGAGACAAATGCATTTAAAGTCTGGCTGCGTTCTTTGTTCCTCGTCACAAAACACAGCTTCCTGCGTCGTTTAAAAGCTCATGGTAAAATACTTCAGCGTATTTGGGCTGAATTACAAATTCCTGAGGGTTAACTGTAGGACAGTGATTAAACCACCTCAGTGAATACCAATTTTCTGTGAAATGAATTAACAAGCCCTGTGAACTGCTCCAGCTTGGTGCTTCAAACAGCACGTCTTTGGCAGAGCATGCGCAGCTGCTGGGTTGACAGAATACACAGTGGAGGTTTTTTTGATGGGTGCTTGGAAGCAGGGGTGTAAGAACTTGCGCATTAAAATGAAACCGTTGAAAAAGTCAGCTCTAAGTAAGGAAACATTGGTGCAGTGTATGTGTAAATCAGTATGTCGCCAAGTTTTGATTAAGGGAAGCTCTTTAGTAGTGGCACCAGTTTGATAGCAATTGCAGCCCTGGCTGGGGTTCTCCGAGAGTCTAATTTGCCCAGGAAATGGGTTGTGTAGTCTTGGACTAATGAGCCATTTCTATTGGAGTCAGCTGGGATTGCAGGGAAACTTCATTATACAGAGGAATGCTCTTATTTCCAGCTGATGAAGTATGTTAAATAGTTCCAGAGATAGTACCGTGCACAAACGGTATAAATACAGGAAATATTAAAAATTCAGTCTAATCTTGCAAAGATTGCTTTAAGACTCTTGTGGGGCTACTTTAGTCAATGGGATTAATTTGGAAGTGATCCAATTAAGAATTAGACCTTGTGGAGGCAGAAAAACATCTCTCAGGTCAGAACACATAGTCATAAATCACAGGGTGCTCTTCAGCCTGCTGATTAAAAACGACAAAACCCCCTTTTTATCCTCTTTCATATCATGACTGCTTTTATATAATGAATATACGTTCCTTCCTAAGGAGCGTATGCTTGGAATTCGTGAAGCGAATGGCTAGAGGTTAGATAAACATAAAATGGCATGTCGGAGACGATCGGGAGACCATTTCCAAGCTGGAGATTCCCGTGCTGAAGTACTGATCGTGTGGTGAATCTTCAGCTGGAAAACACCGTAGGGAAGAAAAGCACTTTAGACTGGTCCTTGGCTGTAGTGTAGATCTGTTCTTGAATCACTTCTAGGCAATCTCAGATGCTGCGTGTTGTAGTTTCTGCGTATTCTGATGGAAGCTAGTGTACAATTTTGAAACCCTTAAAACTGAACAAATCCTGAAAATACCAGATGAACAGTGTAAGGTATTTACTACAAGTAGCATTCATGATGTTGTCCCAGGCACCTGACTCTCCCCATCTTTCATTAGCTTTAAAAATGAGCAAACAAAACCCCACCGAAACCAAGCTAGACTTGATCAAATTCTGCTGTAAAATCTCCTGAACCACTCGAGTGGGCTGACATCCTATCTCAGTGTCTCTGCTTCGGTTCAAGTGAAGTTTAACTGAAGGGAGCCTGACCGTGTCAGCAATGGCTGTCCTGTAGTTCGAGCTGTTTACAACATAAAACCCCTCTCTCTCTGAAGGTCTTCATCAAAGGATGCTGCTTAAAATTAGACAGTGGCTAGTTTGGCTCGTGTTTTCCCCTTGTGTTCTTGCACCGTGTCTTGCCCATAGGTAAGATGAGAAAATCAAGAATATTAAAGTAACCTTTATACTGGGCTGCACAAAGTCGGTGTTTAGAGCTGAAAAACCCGCAGTTTTCTAGAATTACTTGGAATCTTAAAGATTACTTGGAGGAAATGAATTGATTTGTTCTCCAGAGCAGCAGAGCATCAGAATCTTCAATGCTGTTAGTCACTCAGCGCAAGCTTACTATTTAAAATAAAGCCAAATTACAGCTATTAGCTCTGTTGTGAGTATGGCTCAGTTTGTACTTGCCCTCCCTGCAGTGACAGAAAATAGCTGGGGATTGCTGTGGAGTAGGGGTTTATTACTCTTTTCTTCCAAAAGAAGAAAATTTTCAGAACTGAAATTACCGTATTTTCCCTCTTCGATTTTTGGAATGAGCGTTGGATGGATGTTTATCTGCTGGTGTAGCCAGTAAAACTGCTAACATTTTTAAAACTTTTTTTTTTTTTCAGTAAAAGGGCCATTTATCCTTACCTACTAATGTTGTACTCTCTCTTTGTAGACTGCCGTGGATGTTTTTAAGAGGATAATTTTGGAGGCAGAAAAAATTGATGGGGCAGCTTCACAAGGGAAGTCTTCATGCTCAGTAATGTAATTCCACTGCAAAACCTGAAAACACTGGGAATACATTCTACCTGAAGAAGCAAAACTGCCCATTATCTTTAAGGATAAATTTTGCTTCTTTTTTTTTTTTTTTTTATTTTTTTTTTTTTCTTCTGTTAACCTGAAAGATAAACAGTTGGTTTGGAGCCTTTCCCTTCAGATTATGTTAAACTCTGACTCCTGTGCAAATGGCTTCACTTCCATTTTCAAATTTTAAGCAATCATATTTTCAATTTATATATTGTATTTCTTAATATTATGACCAAGAATTTTACTGGCATTAATTTTTCAGTGTAGTTTGTTGGTTAGAATAATCATCAAAATGATGCATATTGTTACACTACTATTAACTAGGCTTGGATATCAGTGTTTCTTTGTGTTAAATGTATACTTGTAAATAAAATAGCTGCAAACCTTAAATGCTCCGTTTATAATTTTTTTCTTGATGACTCCATATCAACTTTTTTTGTATGTGTGTGTGAAAAATGTTCACCTGCTGACCTTAAAAGGAGGCGTGAGATCCTGGGAGCCGGCAGTTGGTTTGGCTGTTGCTTGGGAAGAAGAAAGGGTACGCAGATCTGTCCCGAGTAAGGGGCCGGCGTACGTCTGCTACAGACTGTTCACGCGGCCTCGGGCCCGGGAACGCGCTCGGGACGGAGCGGATTTATCCAGGTCACAAGCGTAGACTTGCGAAGAAGACAAAAATGTCGTTTAAAGGAAATGGCATGCCCTGAAGGAACCGGTGTGGGTTGTTCGTGGTGCCTGTCTGCGCTCCTGCGTGGGGGTAGCGCCGGTAGAGGCGAGCGGGCTCCTGGCACCCAGCTCTGCTCAGCGCCGGCGTCCTGGTGCGGCTCTGGCAGCTGCCCCGAAGCTTCCGCCTGCGAGTTTTTGCTTGGCTTTTGGACTGGAGGCTTAACAAGCCTTAATCTCTTAAGTCTGGAAACAAACTGCTTCAACCATATATTTTTAAAAATGTGCAGTTGATCTACTTTGTACATAAAGCCCAAACCACCAACAACAAAAACACAGGAGGCTGATTTGGGGACCAGTTAATTAATTGAAGTATTTCTCGTGCATTTTTGTGTCCGTTTTGAAAACTTTTAATTTCTGGCAGGAGTAAAATGGAAGGGAAACTTGCAATGTTTTTGCAAGCACAATTAGCTTTTGCATTTCAGCCTGTGCTGAAAGATACAAATTCAGCTTGTCTCATCTCTTCGTTTCTTGTGCAGTGGTTCCCTATATTCTATAGAAAACTGTCTAAACCCCTCAGTTAACAGTGAGTGTAGAAAAACTTGCTCTTTTCTTCGGTCACCATGAGATTAACTGACTTCTTGGCAAAAAAAGTTGCCTTGTTTTCTCGCTTTGGGATATTTCCCAAAGTTTCTGAAAGTTCGTGTCTGTTACCTGGATTTTCGTACCCTGTGCCAAATACAGGTCCTGTAGCTGGATGACCGTTGTGCAGGATCGATCGCTGATGTTCAGCGAAGTCGGGGTGCTTGGCAGTTGGACTTGATGATCTTAGCGGTCCTTTCCAACCTTAATGGTTCTGTTATTCAGGGAAACCAGCGTGCGCTTCCATTCCAGAGCCAGGCTGGTCTTGGGCTGCACAGTAGGTTTCCTTCAGGAGAACCTGCAGCACTGGAACGAGGGGAGTTTGGCTGGTAGTGAAGTTGCTGAGGATTCAGAAAGCGATCTGTGGAATGCAGGAACAGCGTACGTCTGTTCAGTAGCATCCTTCGTTGCCTAATCGTCAGGTGGGAGATGACTTGGTGCGTGACCAGAGTCTGTGGCATCGCATCATGGATGCAGTGTCATGGGGTCTGCATCACACGGTAGGAGTTCTGGAATGCCAGAAACCTCAATGACCAGTTTTGTGTATTTTTTTGTTCTGTTTTTTTGGTTTTTGGTTGTTTTTTTTTTTTTTTTTCCAGTGAACAGTGGCCATTTGTACTGACGATCAGTCTAAAGCCTGAAGAAGCTGCTGGCTTGGTGCTGGAGGTGTGCCAGATGCTGAGGCTTGAAAGGGCCTGGCTGTGGATGAGGGAATGTTCAGCTTGATCATCGTGGGGTGATCAAGGCCCTGCCTTCCAGCGGTGAGGCTTTTCGGGAGGGCCTGAAGGCCGGTGCGGGCTGCCTGGATGATTTGCCTTGGGAACTCCCAAGACTCGATGCGCTCAGCAAGGAGAAGCAGGTGCTGCTCTTGCGGTTTCTGCAGTAGCTGAAGAGCTGAATTCATCAGCACACGTTTCCTTTCTCCTGTTGCTGGCTCATCCAGTAAGAAACGTGAATTATTCCACTTGTCCAAGCTTTTCTCTGCTAACAAGATTTGAAGACCAGCCATGCGCAATAGTCTTGCAGCTGTAATGAAAGGTGTAGTCGAGCGTGATTAGCAAACGACTCCCCTTTGCTGTGCAGAGATCTCAGTTGGCTTCTCGGGGTGGCACCTCCCAGCAGCAGGGGTCTGACAGAGGCCGGGGCAGCCTCGTGCTTCCTTACGCTGACTTCAGAGCTGGCACGGGTTACGTTCTTCACTGTGAGAGCCCTGAAATGGGGTGGTGGGACATCTTGGAAGCCCCGTGTTTGGGACAGAAGCAAGAAAACAGGATCTAGCAAACTGCTGCTTGCCTGGAATTGATGAATTTATGCAGCCTTGTCTGGCAGAGGCCCTGATCCTTCAGAGGTTTCAGGAGGATTGCGGAGAACGGTGCACGAATTAGAAGGTAAGTCACGAAGGACAGATGTTCTCTGGCCCAGGCTAGAGCAAGTTTGATAGGCACTTAATGGACTCTAGCCTTGTTCGTAAGGGATGGTCATTGACAGAGGCAAAAGCGCAAAGATCCTGTCAAGGAAATAAGCAAAATGGAACTACCACAAGTTAAATTCCCATTGACCTGCGTGGATTTAAAATGCGCTGTTCTGGAGATGACTCCTGCCTTGCTCGTGCTCCTGTCCAACTCTGCGCTTTGCTGCGTGAACACCAAGGAACCTCTCGGTACCTCCCGGCCTGCTGCGTGTGGAAACGCTGAGGACGGGGACAGCGGTGGGGCAGGTGCAGCTCAGCAAGTGGAGTGTGGACTGCAGGCAGAAAGTGGACACGTGATCCTTCTTTTTCCCGTTGTTTCTGTGCGTAGCAAAGTTTATCCCTGCCTGATCAACTCCGTGACAGGGAAGGCTTGGAGGCCATCTGCCTTGGGTCTGTGCAGTCTTCTGCTCAGCACTTCTTCTGAGGTTCTGTAAAGGGTCGGTGAACGCACGCTGGAGAAGAAAAAAGCTGGAAAAGTGTTTTTCTGCTCCCTTCTGTCTGCACTAGCTGTATCACAGAATCACAGAATGGTAGGGGTTGGAAGGGACCTCTGTGGGTCATCTAGTCCAACCCGCCTGCCGAAGCAGGGTCACCTACAGCAGGCTGCACAGAACCTTGT